TGTGATATACCACATTAACAAAATAAAGGATAAAATTATATGATCATGTCAATAGATGCAGAAAAAGCATTTGGCAAGATACAACACGCATTTATGATTAAAGCATTTAATAAGATGGGTATAGTTTTCTCATCTTTAAAATGAGATTAGTCATCTTTAAAACTGCCTTCTCCTTCAAGGAATCTATCAACTCTGAAGATAAGAGCTGTAATCTCAGGTATTATGTTTTCTATTCACTTTCATTTCCCCCTTTTCAAAGGTCATGCTTCCAGCAGTTGAGGGCCCATTCTATATTCCCCTTTTTATTCCCATCATCCAGCAGATTCTCCTTGGCAATGAGCTCTTTGTGAAGACATGAGGAATTTGCACTTATTTGCATTCTGGACCAACTAGTGTCTTGGATTAGTCTAGTGTGATTGTCTTCTCAAGATATCCCCTATAAACTAGAAATATACTTAGTCATTACATGAGCACTTATGATTTTCATTAGACTACTATTCTAAATGAGTTATAAGTGCATTTCTCAGTATAATCTGATGCCAACATATTTCAAACACACAGAACTCTTGATTAAGAGGCAAGTACAGCTGAAACCGGTTTGGCTCAGTGGATAGAGCGTTGGCCTGCGAACTGAAGGGTCCCAGGTTCGATTCCGGTCAAGGGCATATACCTGGGTTGCGGGCACATCCCCAGTGGGAGATGTGCAGGAGGCAGCTGATTGATGTTTCTCTCTCATCGATGTTTCTAACTCTATCTCTCTCCCTTCCTCTCTGTAAAAAATCAATAAAATATATTTTTTAAAAAAAGAGGCAAGTACAGGGTTTGTTTGGAGGGTTGCAGTCAGACCTGAGTCTGAATCCAGGGCTCCCTGTACCTCTTTCTAGACCTTTGACCTTTGACACATTACCGGATCTCCCTAAGCATAACTGTGGTAAAATTGTCAGAAGGTTGGAGTGAGAATTAAACAAGCTAACATATAAAAAGCACTAGTACAGTGCCTGGGACTTAGTCAAAATTCAATCGGTGTAGTCATTGTTGTTATTTCACAAGGTTAATATCTAACATCTACCTCTATGTTTGCTATGTTATGTGGTTAGAAGCACCCACTTCTTTCACTGAGTGGAGTGTTACCTGTTAGATTCTTGGGATCTCTCCTGCTCTTCCCCCGGCCCTGTCCATCCATTTTCCCACTTTATTTTTGTCTTCTTCCCTCCTCCCTGACCCTTATTTTTCCTCACTTCCCCCTTGTTTTCACCTTACCTCCCTCCTCCTCATACACTCACTCTCACGCAAACATCTGTTGTACCTATCTTGGCAATTTTCTGGTTCAGTCTAACTAACTTCAATATGACCTTAATGTTATAGCAATAGCAGTTAATTCAAACAGCCTACACTATGTACTTTTCATGTAACAACTCATTTAATTCTCACAATCCTAAGAGGAGCTACTACTCATATAACTGTCTTTACAGATGGAATCATGACATATAGAGAGATTAAGTGACCTGTTCAGGGTCATATAACCAATGGGTGGTGGTGGAAATGAGATTCAAGCCCAGACAGTTTGGCTCTAGGACTTGAGTTCCAGGATCTGTGCTCTTAGTCACTAGAGGACAGTGCCTCTGTGCAGCAAAGAGACTTAAGACTTGTGTTTTCACAGATAATCCAAACAATGAACAATGCATTTGTTGACAATAGATTTTGAATGTCCAAGGTTTCAGAGGTTATCATACACTATGAGCTGAACCTTTGCTACTCTAGTGTGTGTGTTTTTTAATCCTCGGCTGAGGATGTTTACTGATTTTAGAAAGAAAGGAAAGGAGAGAGAGGGGGAGAGAGAGAGAGAGAGAGAAAGAGAGAGAGAGAGAGAGAGAGAGAGAGAGAGAGAGAGAGAGAAATATATCAATGTGAGAAACATTGATCGGTTGCCTCCCATATATGCACTGAGCAGGTTTTCAAACGCACAGCTTGGTATGTGCCTTGAGCAGGAATTGAACGCACAACCTTTTGGTGTATGGGACGATACTGCAACCAACTCAGCTACCTGGCCAGAGCTGCTTCTCTAGGTTTTAACAGCAGGAAGGAAGGGGGCAAGGTAGAGTGGTGCAGTACAGTGAAGTGTGGGTAATGGTCTTAACGAGAATGAAAATGGGCCCATGGTCCAAACCTCCTCAAATTGCACCCCTGAGCAGGCCCTAGGACAGTGATGGCGAACCTATGACATGCGAACTCATTTTTTTGGTTGATTTTTCTTTGTTAAATGGCATTTAAATGTATAAAATAAATATCAAAAATATAAGTCTTTGTTTTACTATGGTTGCAAATATCAAAAAATTTCTATATGTGACACGGCACCAGAGTTAAGTTAGGGTTTTTCAAAATGCTGACACGCCGAGCTCAAAAGGTTCGCCATCACTGCCCTAGGAAGTTGTTCACAGGCACCAGGAAGTTAAGGCTTCCACTTCTGAGGACTCTTTTGCTGTCACACCTTAAATGGACCTTGCCATTCCCGTTGTGGCTGAGGCAGGTTTTTCTGAGTTAGCTAAGGGGTCTTTTGCCACCAACATTAATAGCTAGTAGGTCTCAGTCAGTTTTCTCATCTGGAAAATGGGAATCTTCTTACCTATCTTGTAGGTAGAGTAACTGGGGACTTAAAGAAGACAGGGTGTAATTAATATAATCTTGTATGTCAACCATAATTTAAAAAAGAAAACAGGGTGTATAAAGTACATAATACATGACTCACAGTGGGCAGTCTTCATAGGCTTTCAAAAGGATGGCCTGCACTTTCCAGTTTTTTTTAATGGTGACCCTATCCTCTACCTGACAGCACCCTTACTTCCAATTCCTTGTGAAAATTCTGGTACCTGGGGAGAATTCCTTGCCCATCTGGGGCATACTCTTCTCTATCTTCATCAGCCCTTCAGGCTAGGAAGAGTAAGTACCTTTGACCTTTGTCTTTGGGAGCTTAATCCAAGTGTTTGCCCCACCCCCACTACCCCAATGGAAAATTGTGTGACCTTATTTAAGTCATTTCCCTTTGATGGGCTTTAGTTCTCCCTATATTAGATAAGAGATTTGGATTTAGTTAATGGTTCACAACTTGGGGACTGACCAGGGTTTCAAACCTGGATGTTGTGGGAGGATCTATGTACACCTATCTTCACAGGATAACTCAAACATCTAGATGTCTGTGTTGAGACGTTGCACATGTAATATTGAAAACTTATGTGCATCTTTAAACATGTTAGTTGTTGTAGCTTTGGGGAATTTACCCATTGGTTAGTTCTCTAAATTGGTTCAAATTTCATCAGTTCTGTTTAGTGAGTTGTTTCTCAGTATAAGAGTCCCTAATTTATCTGTTGCTGGAAATTACCTCATTCATTCTCTAATTTCATTAACCGCAGGAATTGGAATTAGAAGGCAACAGTGATATTTCTTTCCTAGCAATTTGTTAACCCTTCAGTTATCTGACAGTCATGCAATGAAGAACTCAGGTTATCTGGTGAGAGGTTGGGGAACACCTCTTTTTACAGTGAAATAGTTCTAAAGAAAATGTTTCCTCACAAAGGAGTGGGGTGTGGGATCTCCAGAACATCACTCTCTACTGTGCCTCAGCTCCTTTCTAAGCCCAGGGTTTTTTTTAATACTGTAGGTAGACCAAGGATCAGCAAACTATGGCTCACGGGTCATATCTGGCTAACCACCTGTATTTGCACACCTGTTTTGTGAGCTAAGAATGGGTTTTGCTTTTCTAAATGGTTGGAAAAAATAAAAAAGAATATTATTTTGTGACACATGACAACAATATAAAATTAAAATTTCAGTGTTCACAAATAAAGTTTTATTGGAATACAGTCATACTCATTCATTTACATATTATCCATGGCTACTACTGTACCACAATAGTGGATCTAATTAATTGTGAAAGAGCCTCTATGGCCTGCAAACTTACTAGCTGGCCCTTTACATGAAAAGTTTGTTGGGCCCTGAACTAGATCATCAGCCCTAGTGTTGCATGTTTGGGAAGATTCATGAAAAGCCAAAATTCTGGCTACTTCTGGACCAGTAGAACAAACCTAGGGAGATTAGCACTCCCTAACCCCCAGCCCATTCAATCTCACCACACCCATAGCCCTACCAAACCATAGATTCAAACCTCAAACAGGTGGAAGGCATAAATCACTAAACATCCAACTCCTTCATATCCCTGGGTGACCGGTTGTTTTGAAGTGTTCTGGCTTGAGGCTCAGTGGCAGAGGGGAGGCACCTCTGACCTGTGGAGCTTACCTCTGCCTTTTTTCCCAGGGACAGAAAAACCAACGGGCCGTACTGCTCTAAGTGTAACTTTCTGAACTCATTTGTATGAGGCAGCCTCCAAGAACAGATCTGAGTCATTCTGACAGCTCCCATGGCCAAAGGACTTCCAGATGGAGACGGTTAATTTGCTGACCAATTTTTCTCCTTCCAAAGCACATGTCTAAACCCGAAGTCATTTCTTGTGTGCAGGTATAAAATCCTCATCCTTTCATGAAAAAAAATTAATAATTTTACTTCAGAAAGAAACTTTGAGGTTTAAAAAAATCAGAAAAGCTGCTTCCAAGAGCCAAAAAAGTGATGCATTTTAAAAAGTGGTGACAACTTCCTCTGAAGGCCAGAGTTCAGGAAAATAGCAGGTGATGGTAAGCTATACACCCACCACCTGCCCATCCGGCAGCTCCTTGCCTGTCTCCCTCTCCTCCCAGCTGCCTGTCTTGCCTTTCCCTCTGGTTCCCCCCTTGGACTGGTATGATCCACTCTGCTTCTGGCCCTGTGCCTGTCCCCTTTTCTTCTCTCAATTCTGTACCTTTCAGTTTGTCATTTCATCTCATCCCCTGTGTTTTATCTCCCTCTCTTTTTATAGCCTACCCCTAATAGGTCCATAATATAAAATAAAAGAAAGACTTTTAATCACTTTAAAATAGTATTTATGGCTTCAAATCTTCATTCTTAAAGCAGTTGAGTGAAATGTTTTCGTCAAACTAAACAAAATTGCTTTTTGCTCATTGGTGTGCCTTGGTAACAATTCTGGGCACCATGTTAGACACTTAAGATGTTATTAACTCATGTAATACCCACATGATGAAATAGGCGCTATTATTTTTTTATTGATTAAGTTATTACATATGTGTCCTTATCCCCACATTACCCCCCATCCCCCCTACTCATGCCCTCACCCCCCTGGTGTCTGTGTCCATTGGTTAGGCCTATATGCTTGCATATAAGTCCTTTGGTTGATCTCTCCCCCTTACCGCCACCCTCCCCTACCTTCCCTCTGAGGTTTGATGGTCTGATTGATGCTTCTCTGTCTCTGGATCTGTTTTTGTTCATCAGTTTATGTTGTTCATTATATTCCATAAATGAGTGAGATCATGTGATATTTACCTTTCTCTGACTGGCTTATTTCGCTTAGCATAATGCTTTCCAGTTCCATCCATGCTGTTGCAAATGGTAAGAACTCCTTCTTTTTTACCGCCACGTAGTATTCCATTGTGTAGATGTACCACCATTTTTTAATCCACTCATCTGCTGATGGGCACTTAGCCTGTTTCCAAATCTTAGCTATGGTGAATTGTGCTGCTATGAACATAGGGGTGCATATATCCTTTCTGATTGGTGTTTCTGATTTCTTAGGATATATTCCTAGAAGTGGGATGACTGGGTCAAATGGGAGTTCCATTTATTAGTTTTTTGAGGAAACTACATACTCTTCTCCACAGTGGATGCACCAGTCTGCATTCCCACCAGCAGTGCACGAGGGTTCCTTTTTCTCCACATCCTCGCCAGCACTTGTTGTTTGTTGATTTGTTGATGATAGCCATTCCGACAGCTGTGAGATGGTACTGCATTGTTGTTTTGATTTGCATCTCTCGGATGATTTGTGACTTTGAACATGTTTTCATATGTCTTTTGGGCTTTCTTCTGCCTTCTTTTGAAAGGTATCTATTTAGGTCCATTGCCCATTTTTTGATTGGGTTGTTTATCTTCCTTTTGTTAAGTTGTATGAGTTCCCTGTAAATGTTGGAGATTAAACCCTTATCGGTGATAACATTTGCAAATATGTTCTCCCATGCAGTGGGCTTTCTTGTTGTTTTGTTGATAGTTTCCTTTGCTGAATAAGCATTGTTATTATTCTCATTTCAAAGGTAAGAAAATGGGGCACATATATTAAAGGTTTTGTCCAAGGTCCTCCAGCCTGTAACTGTTAGAGGTTGAATCTCAGAGAGTCTGGTTCCCAAGTACACATCCTTAACCAGAAACATAACTAATGGCCTGTTGTTTGATGACCCTCAGCTGAGAAAAGGCACAAAAGCTCCCCCATTTATTATTCATGCTCCCTTGCAGGATTTCACACTTTGAGTATGCACCTCTCCCATGGATATAAGGACTTCTTTTATTTTTCAAAAAATATGTAAATAGGTGGAGAGAAAATTTGCAATCCTCCAACCACCTCCTCACTCTAACTAAAAGGTGTCAATTTTATTCTTATATTCTACCTCTACATGTTCACACTAACCTCAAGTAGAAGTATTTCTCTCTCTTTTTTGTTAATAAATTTTTATTGATTTCAGAGAGAGAAAGGGAGAGGGCGAGGATAGAAACCTCAATGATGAGAGAGAATCATCGATCTGCTGCCTCCTGCAAGGCCCTACTGGGGATCGAGTCCCCAAACCAGGCATGTGCCCTGGCAGGAATGGAACCATAACCTCCTGGTTCATGGGTCGACATTCAACCACTGAGCCACACCAGAAGTGCCCAGATTTTGTTGTTGTTTTTAATCCTCACCTTAGGATATTTTTTCCATTGATTTTTAGTGAGTGGAAAGGAAGGGTAGAGACAAAAAGAAACATCAATGTGAGAGAGACACATTGATTGGTTACCTCCCACACGCACCCGACCTGCAACTGAGGTACTTGCCCTTGACTGGAATCAAACCCACAACCCTTCAGTTCATGGACCGACACTCTAACCACTTAGCAAACCAGCCAGTGCAAGATCTGTCTCATTTTAAAGCTTGTTCTTAGAAATCAAACTGCTATATTGATGACCTTTAAATTTTACCATGGAGATGAGCACTATTGGCACTGCTCCCTCTCCATGGGTCCAGTGACTAAAGTTTCTGCAAGCACAAACTCAACCCTTCATCTTCTGTCCTATTCCTGTAGGCCATCTGATTTAGAGGAGTGAGGGACTTGCCCAAAACCCGAGTTTTCTTAATTATTTTAGTACTCTTTTTCTTATTTCCTAAAAGCTACTAAAGTCAGTTTTCTCTGAGGATGATTTTGTTGTTTTTTTCTTTTGAGAATTGTTAAAAAGCTTTCTTTCCTGTTTTGAAGTTCTACTTGGCAATCTTGACTTTGGTTTTAATTAATGAAGGAATTTGTTAAATTATGAAAGTAAATATAATGATAATGAGGAAAATTTGAAAAAGAAGGCAAAGAAAAACGACATGGAGTATCCTATTACCCTGGTATAATTGCTGTCATAATTTGGCAGAAGAACATAAAAAAGGGGCCTAAGCTCTGAAGTCAGACTGAACATGTTTAGATGCCCAGCTTCACGCTTATTAGTTGTGTTAATTAACCTTTCTCACCTTCTAAATGTGTTCTGATCCCAATTTCCAAAGTGTGTTTGTGGGGGTTGGGATTCCCCTCACACCATTCAATTCTCCAGCACCAGCTGGGTAACCAACAATTCAACTCAATTCTGACACTATCCAGAGATAGCATTAGATCCCACAGGTTAAGGACTTAGTCCATCAAGTCTGCAATTCCCACCCTCCACTTCAAATACAAATCACGAGCCCAGGTTGTCACCTGTGCTTCTGAAAGATCAGATACATATAGGAGGTTCCCATGATTCCCTCCTTGGATTTGATTAATTTGCTAGATCAGCCCACAGAACTCAAGAGACATTTTACTTACTAAATTATCAGTTTATTATAAAACTAGAGGCCCGATGCACGAAATTCTTGCAAGAGTAGGCCTTCCTTTCCCCAGCTGCTGGCACCAGCTTCCCTCTGGCACCCGGGACCTGGACTTCCCTCTGGGACCCTGGCTTCCCTCGCAGCAGGGCTTCATCCAGAAGGTCGTCCGGATGGACAACTGATCTAATTAGCATATTATGCTTTTATTATATTATAAAATAATGTAATTCAGGAACAGCCAAATGAAAGAAATGCATAGGGCAGGGTATGGGGTAGGGGTGCAGAACTTTCATGACTTCCCTAAGTGTGTCACTCTTCACAAATCTCCACATTTTCAGCAGCCCAGAAGCTCTCCAAACCTGGTCTTTTCAGGTATTTATGAAAGCTTTATTTCAGAGGCACACTTGATTAAATCATTGGTCATTGGCAAATGATTCAAATTCCAGCCCCTCTCCCCTCCTCAGAGGTGAGGAAAGTTGGATTGAAAGTTCCAACCCTCTGATCACATGGATGATTCTCCTGGCAACAAGCCCCATCCATTGGTGGAGGTAAAAAAAAATCACCTAATTAATATGACAAAGATACTTTTATCATTCTTATCACTTCAGAAATTAATCCCAGTGGTTTTAGGAGCTTGATGCCAGAAACAGAAAGAACAACTATATAATCTTGCCTAATAATAGACAAGCATGTTTGACCATACTACCTTCACTACACTAACCAACCAATCAGGAGAGTATGCAAATTAACCTAACAAAGATGGTGGTTAATTTGCATACATAGGCTCCAAGGGGTGGAGCAAATCGGCAAATCGGGGCCAGTGGAGTGGTGGCGAAGCCTCATGGCCCCGGGGCCAGCTCCGGCTGGAGCCCAGCCAGAGCGAAGGCCTGAGTCCTGGGTGCCGAAGGAAAACCGGTGCCAGCAGCCAGGTTAAAGGAAGGCCTATTGCACGAATCTCTTTGTGCAACAGGTCTCTAGTTCTTATCATAAATCACAATATCACATATTTATTTTCTATATCTGAAAAATAGAGATTACATAAGGTCAGTGTGAGGATCCAATGAGGTGTAAAATGCTTATCTCTGCATCTTGCATATTAGTACACAGTATTTGTCAAATGAATAGTTTATTTCTCTCCAGTCTATTTCTTTAAGCAAATCCTGAATAATTATAATGATGCTAGAGGCCCAGTACATGAATTCATGCATGGGTGGGGTCTCTCAGCCTGGCCGGCAATCAGGGCTGATTGGGGCCAATAGGGGCCGGCCGGCCAGGGGAAGGAACCACAGGAGGTTGGCTGGCTGCAGGAGTTTGGCTGTAGGCCAGTTGCCCAGTCATCATAGCTACTGGCCAGTCACCCAGGAGTCTGGTTGTAATGGTTGCTTAGGCTTTTATATATAGACTAGAGGCCCGGTGCACAAAAATTTGTGCACTTGGCGAGGGGGAGGTCCCTCAGCCTGGCCTGTGCCCTCTCACCGTCTGGGACCCCTCAGGGGATGACCATCTGCTGGCTGGGGCCTGCTCCCCAGGGGATTGGGCCTAAGATGGCAATCAGACATCCCTCTGGCAGCCCGACAGCCCTTAGGGGATGTCCACTTGCCAGTGGGGAGCAGACCTAAGCTGCAGTCGGACATCCTTAGTGCTGCTGAGGAGGCAGGAGGGGCTCCCACCACCACCACTATACTGGCAGCCATCAGCCTGGCTTGTGTCTGAGCAGAGCTCCTCCATGTGGGAGCTCACTGACCACCAGAGGTCAGCTCCTGCATTGAGCGTCTGCCCCCTGGTGGTCAGTGTGTGTCATAGTGACCAGTCATTCCCAGTCTTTCTGCTGTTAGGGTCAGTTTGCATATTACCCTTTTACTATATAGGATAGAGGCCTGGTGCACAGGTGGGGGCCGGCTGGTTTGCC